TTCATCAATTAGGAGGCGCTGTGTTCTAAACTGCTGGAGGGGCGCTTAAAGTTTTTTTTTTTTTTTTACGCAGAGAGAATAGCTGAGCACTTTAATGCTGTCTAATGACGTTATGGGAGGAATAGTCTCATGCCGCTGGGAACCTGCTAATCCCACTTTGTCCCTGTGTTGGATTTGTTTGGAAGCCCCACCCCCTCTTTCCAGGGGCTGATCCCCTTTCATGTTGCGTCGACACAATGGCCCAGGGGGTGCTGGGTATTATTTTCTCCTCAATTAGTGTTGATCACTTCCTCTGCGAACAAGGTGAACGAACATTCCTGCAGGCCGCATTCAGGTCACAGATTGGCAACCCTGAGCTGCCTTAAAAAAACAAGTCAGAAAAGAAAACATGTTCAATGCGATGAATATATGTGAACTGAGGACTTCTGTAGTAACCTGAATATCACTGTAAACCCCTATGACAGTTTCATGTCACGTCTCTTTTAAGGACTGAGTGCTGGGGTGTCCGGGGGTTTGGAGGGAGATGCCGGCGGCCCTCCAGAGCTCCGCCCACCTCTTTCAGCCTCATTATGGCAGTGGCTGTTCAGGGAATGAGAGGAGGCTTTGATCAAACTGTCCTCCCATTTCCGCCTAAATCTGAGAGACGAAAGTCTGCCAAATCCTTGGCCCCAAAAAAAGAAAAAATCCTCCCCCAACTTTGGCCCTTCCCTCCCCATGGTTCTCCCCCGTGTAGTGTCACAGAGCAGAAGGGGAGACAAAGGTGAGACTGGACAATAATGGAGGAAAAGTATAATTCAATGGTAGTTTGCTAAACTTCACTGTATTCTGTGGCGCTGTACACCTCCACATTAAACAAAACTAATTTAAGCCACAGAACAAGGATGCAGATACCTAGTTTACATCAACGGCAGTTATCAAAACCATACGGATGTTTGAGGATTTCAAACGCCAAAGTCACTCAAGTTATTAATGTAATTAGCAATGTCAGCTAAAATGTAGGAGAGGTCACAACTTACCTCAGTCTCCTATGAAGCTTTCTGTCCATCGATATTGATTAAATCAAGAGATATGTTTTACATAACTTGGCATTTTAATCACAAATTTTGAAGTTTTTTTTTTTTTTTTTTGGAGTCGCTCAGTCCTTATCCCAGTGGTCACTGTTGGTAAGATAGGCCTGCTATCTTCTCTTCCTTCTCTTCAGGGACTTTTTTTTCTTGTTTTGTCTCGTTGAGGAGAGGCCGTCCCCTCCGTCCAACCCCTCCACACCCTCAGCTGCCAAGAAAAAACCCAGTAGATGAAGACGACAGATGGCTGTTTGCTTTAAGATCAGTCCTCGGCTGCTTGAGACGCTGCAGCCACTGCCGCCTAGTGTCCGTAGAGTCAGAAAAAACAGATGCACATGCATATGCTTTTTCATCAAATGGTTCCATGTTTAGTGAAGATGAGCTGGGACAGGGTGCAGGACACCACTATTGGTGGGTCACTGGTTCCAGTCCCAGAGGTCTGCCTGCTCAGATTTGTTTGTTCGTTTAGATTGTAATGGATGACACAGGCACCAGGGAACAGAGGAGTTAAGTGCAAATAAACCAATGTTGGAGAGATAGAAAAGATCACTTATTGATTGAAGATCATTTTCACAGACAGTGTGGTCAGACTACAGATTATAACTGGACTATTCTATCTGGAATGCTCTCCAAAAGAAATCGAGGGAAGAAAAATTTACATTAATCAAAAAGTATTGAACGTTTTGTGATGTTAGTGTTTGGAACCTTTCTTAAAGTTTGCTTTAGGCCATGTAAGTTAATGTCTCAAAGATAAAAAATAACAAATATTCTAGGGGTGATTGTAATAGTATCTTTACACCAGAGCTCTCAACTGCTGGAGTGGTTTTTAGTTGCATGAATTAGCCACACACAGCAGCAGTACACCTGACCTGTGAACTAAAAACATTGCATCAGATCAGCTGTTCTCAAACTTTTTTTTCATTCCCCACTTTGAACAGGAGGAGTTTGTAAGCGCCACCTGCCCCTGTCGACCCGACAAACATCTTGATAAACTACATTTCAACCTGATAAAACTAAAACCAGGTAATATCATATTTTGTAATTATTAAAATTAATAACATTAAGTAATCCAAAGTTCAAAAAGAGAAAGTAAGACTGCAGTTGTGACATCATCACTTGAACCTTGAAAATGTCCTCCCATTTGTCGTGCTCCCCCTGTCATGTCTGCATTCTCCTCCATTGGGGCCCGCCTCACACTTTGAGAAGCACTGGACTGGATGTTGCTATTGTTCACTATTTTTTGTTTCTGTTTTCACTTGATGAAAGTAAAAAGTTTTCCAGGTTCATTTTTCTCAATCCACCGGTGATCTACAAAAAAATCTACATCCATCTAAGATAGAATTTCTGTTTTGTGTAAGACAGCAGTTAATCAAAACAGTTTTCTCTCCCTCTGTCTTTCTCCTTTTCCCTCTCGTTAGCTCACTCTCACCTCTAACACCTGCAGCGCCTCAGGGCCAATCTGTCGTCCACCACTAACTCTAAACACAGCGACCTGTCACATACACATACACACACAGAGTAACGGAAGTGCTTTTCCAAAGGTCAAAACATCTCAAATGGGCCTTGGATCTATATCAACATTTTGAAGTTCTTCCTTTATCCATGCTTTACACGCTCCATGTACGTGAGGAGTTGTATGCATGCCTGGTGCTCACACATGTGCAGAATGTCCTGCAGGTCTGTGCAGAATAAAATGAGGGTCCGCTGTGAATCTCCTCAACTCCTCAGATTTCTGGTGAGATCCACACTCACCTTACGCATGTGGTTCAGTGACAAATGACCAGGTCATTGTTGCTTCAACTATCATTAATAGCTGTTTCCAAAGAAACCTGTGGGCAGATGGAGACACTGACAGTGACATCACTGACCTGATGCATTCACATTAATAAGAATTAGGTAAAGCAGTTTATAATATGACACCATATCATTGAGAGGTGTAGAGATGCTTGGTGGGAACTGAACCCTGCCCAGTTACCCACAGTTTCAAGCCCACCACCGGCACCACCTCCTCTTCTTCTTCCTCCTTGCCTTGTTTAGCTTTGACACCTCAGCTGTTAAGCAGGCTGCACAGTGGAAGGTGTGGGGTGAGAGAGTGAGGGAGGAGAGAGGGAGAAGGGGCGACAGAGAGTTGATAATGAAGGTAGCATGTTGTTGTCACCACAGATTGTTGCTCAGGGCCTTCCGTGCTTTGTCTTTGTGTGTGTTTGTGAGTGTATGTGTGTGAGTGAGAGAGAGAGAAACTCCTCCACCAATGCACTTGCACCTCCGCTCCCTTTAATGTGTACAGTACCTACTAGACACAGAATACATATATTAATAGAAGAAACTTGTCCAGGCATGGCATGAACTAAAAATAACCCAGAATTAGTTTATGTCATAGATATAGATGATTGACAACCACCATTAATACCTACAGCAGAATTCATGTGTTTGGAAACACAGGCCACATCATTCTAATGTAGCATCCAAACTGTTATGTGCTGTATTTAGTTCCAATCGTCACATCATAACAGTCATGAGCTGCTCTTCATTTTCAGCACCGAAAAAAAGTGCCGCTTCTTCGTTAGTAAACACTGACTCCATAAATATGTAAGTTGAGATGACAAATAATATTAATATCCCAGTTATCTCTGCTTCCAAAAAAAAGCTGATAACGAGCCAAACATGCTCCGCCTGGCTTCGAATCTGCAGCCGTATGCCACCAGAGCTTTGGAAAGTGAGAAGTTGATTGGCTATCAACAACTTTCCACCTATCTCTCTTTCTGTCTCTCCCTTCATCCACACTGTTTCCATGCAGCCTCATTAACACTAAACGTGCCATCAGGCAAATGCAGAGGCAATATTTGATCACATGAACAATAAATTACCATCAACAAGGCGCTCACTACACACATACACATACAGAAGTCACAGATGAAAATAATTGCATCGGGGATGAGAGGGCAGTCAGGACAGGTAGATGCTGTGATGTGCCTTATCACTGTTACCCTAATCACCAGGTCATCCACTGGCCAATTAAACACACATGTCGTCATCGGTAACACCTAAGGAGGTGACGCAGGCGAGATAATGAGCGATCAGTTGTTTGCATATGTGTTGTAAATTGATATAAACGCAAGGAAATAAATCGAGAGAGGAAAGTAGTCCCAGATAAATATTGGGTCGGGGCTGCACTTCACTTCCATTTTAATAATGTATGTATATGTTAATGCCATAACAACTCAATCAGAGGTAACAGGTGCACTTTGTGTCACAGAATAGCTTATTTGTAGCAAATGTGATGACACCAAATACAATCAACAAAAATATAAATGAGTCACATTCTGTTTTGGTCAGTGGGGATACTGCTGGGCGGGCAGGTCTACATATCAGGGTTGCCATTCTTTTATTGAGAAAAGGTCCTTAGTGTGACTCAAGTGATTGTTAAAATTATTTGGTTTGTATCTAAATCTTAGAAAGGTGAAGCTGTTCTTGCTTGACTTGTACAACAGTAAACATTTGTCCACTTTTTTATTTTCTGACTGTTGGAGGAAACCAGGGTACGAGGAGAAAAACAACAACACAGAGAGAGAGAACATACACACTCCACACAGAAAGACCAGGATCAACCTCATGAACCTGTGTCTTCTTGCTGTAAAGCAACATTACAAACCACTCCATTTATCTGTACATCCTTTTTTTCTTTCTTCAATAATGTATTTTTTTCTTAATAATACAACAATCAATGGCACGTCAGTGACCCGTTCTTCGGGAGAAACAACAATTTGCATTAGCTGATTTACATAAACATATACAGCTCATTATCTCCCCGTGTTTTTCTCACACAGCCATGTCACTGCTCTTGTTTCCTTCCTTCACAGGAAGTGGTCTCCATATTCCAGATGTTTGCTTCACACCATGTTAGAATGACATAACACACACACTAGGACTGAGCCTAACAGCTTTGTGCTGAAAACACTGTAAAAACTCACTTATACCTAATTTAAAAAGTGTTGGTTTTCCTGCTGTCTTTAATTAAATCTGTTAAAACTGTTTCATACATATATATCACTTTCCCTTATGGCTGTTGTCCAAATTCATTATTTCTCCAGCTGTCTGTCATGTTAACTGATAATGTTCCTTTTTTTAATGCTTTAATTTTAAAGAACAACAAAAATAAAGATAACAGAACTTTTTTGGAGGAAGAAGTGTGTAGTAGCTGAACCAAACATGAGATACACATGGAATTTGTTCTAACCAAAATACATTGTGTACCATAATACAACTATAGCTTTAACTTTGTTAATCAAAAAACTTGTTGATTTTCTAGCCACATTCCATAGATGGATGTAATAAATTAGAATCTATTAAGATACTGTATGTTTATTGGCTAGACACTTTGTTGGCTGGTTGTCCAATTTTTAAAGCAAAGGTTAGGATTTTAAATCTTTTGAAATAAAAAGCACAGTTTCATTGTAAAATTTTGGACATGGCTTCAAATGCTTTGATGCCCAGGCTAGACCTGTTAGCCATTCACCTATTGGTAAAATCCCAATAACCTTAACAGTTCTATATACTGTATTTCTGAAGTATTTTACATTTTCATTGTTTAAGTGAGACAGACACATAGTCCTTCTTTGTTTGTGGTTGTAGTAAGGATGGAAGACAGTGTCACTGTTTGATCTTACAGCATGCTAACAAAGTTAACAAAGGCTTCTTCTGCTACATCCAGGTTAGTTAGCTTAGTTGGTTAGTTTCATCAATATTGGAGAATGTGTATTGTACTAATTCCAGTGAGGGACATACATACTTACATTGAATATTTTAAGGATATTCAAATTTGATGTACTCTATGTAGTTTGCTATCCAGCTCCGCAGGTGATGCTTTAAAGGCAGTCATTGATGTCCAGGTCTTTAGATGGATATATTATACCCATTGGATATAATAATAATAATTACGAAAGTTGAGCTGTGGCGTATTTACCTAAAAAGCTGCATGTAACAGATACCTACACCGAGTGCTAAACTATTAAAGTTAAAGCGGCAGTTATGGAAATAGACTAGTGTTTAGGGTAATTCAAGCATGTCTTTAAGTGAAGTAAATACGCTGTAGACTAATGATTAATTTCTAAACATTAGTGTCCATGGCGATCCTCCCATGACAGTGCTGTGTCTCATCGTTAAATCCATGCTGGTGGATCTCATCTCCGCTCCCTTAACTTTAATCTTCTTTTTAAGCTCCCTTATCTTTAACCTGTTTTGTCTAATCTCTGTGTAATTTTCCATGTGTCACAGTTAATCCTTGGTTATTTTTCTAAAATATGATCATTTCATCTCTCATCAAATATTCGAAATCCTCTTCACGTGTCTAGTGGCAGGTTGGAGGAAAACATGAGTCACGTGTGTTTCATCTCACTACTTTTATTCTTTGTATTTCATTATCCTCCTCCACCATTCATCGTCTTGTTCTCTTTGTCTATTTTCATTTCCTTCTGTCCTTTCCTTTTCTCTGTTTTCTTGTCCATTTTCTTTCAACGTGTTTCCATCTTCTCTTCTCCTTCCTCACCTCTGAGTCTATTTTTATTACTCTTCCTCCACACTCTGAACCTTCATTTCTCATTGCCTTTTGCTGCCTTTTCCCACACAGTACCTTCTGTTTTTCCTCATTTTTTTCTAGCATTTTATCCAATTCTCCTCACATAGTTGTTTATTTCTGTCCCATCTTCTGTTTTGCTGTGCGTTTCCTTGATCTAATTTCCAGTTCCAAACAATCCCTTTTGTATTTCTTCTCTTCTTTTATTCACTTTTTTATGGGGCTAACATATGGGGCATGTACATGCAGGAACATCAACCAACCTAAATTGTCATTTGAAGTTTTATTATTTACATTTTCTGAATGTCTCTGTGTTAGTTGAGGTGATGTCCACAGTGGAAGTACAGCTGCACATGCAGGTTGCAGCAGCAGCTAGAGCATCAGTAGCCGCAGTTGTTATAGTGTCAGTCAGCTGTTTATATACAATATATCCATTAAAGTGACTTATTAATAATAATATGCTATAAGTGCTATAATTGATCAGTATAAAAATGTTAGTTTATGGAATAAAAACATTCACATTTATTTTGGGGATTGACTAGGAGCTACAGATGGCATCACCTCTAGGGGCGCTCTAATTGAAACTTTTTGTCATATAACTTTGGAGTACTACTGGGAATAACAGGCTGTGAGTATCTCACGTGTCAGTGAGAATTTTCCCACAGTGCAAAGATGTACTGTTGAACAGTAGGTTGATTTTAAGAACAGGTTGTACAACATAAATGCACTGTTTATTACATTCAAATTACTAATAATTTACACATTTATAATCACACAATATAATTATCATATATTGTGACATCATTAGCTCCATCTGTAATTTTGATTTGTCACAAACTTTTGGCCTAAACCCTCACTGTGCCAGTTTCACCCTGTCTTCATTCCTCCTCTCCAACACGCTTTTCAGTTTCTTTTTCTTTCATAACACCTTTTTAATCTTTCTTTTCTCTCTTCTGACACATTTTGTCTTCCCTCCCTTTTCTGTCAGGACACACACACACACACACGGAGCAGAGGTGAAGTCGGGAGGCTTGTCTTAGCGTGCCATCTGTCCTCGGCGCTGACGTTGGCTCTAATTACCGCGTCTCCCCTGGCTAATGCTGCCTCATTAGGCCGCCGGAGCATGTGCAGCCGACACAAGCGCGGCAGAGAGTTTGCACCAGGAAACGCGAGCCTGAGCCATTATGAGATCAGGAAATCTGTCTGGTGCGAAAGGCAATTCACACCAGTGACTAAACGCTCATTTTGCTTTCTCTCTCTCTCTCTCTTCCTCACTTGTCAAGCTTTCTCTCTCTCGCTCTCTGTTTCTTTCCTCTCATCTGCTGTTGGCGAGCAACTCCAAGGATCAGGTCCAAGAACCAAAACAAAGAAGTCGAGGAGGTGTCACGCTCCAAGACTACCAGAAAGATATTTGCTGGATACCACCATCTTGAATTTTCAGTCCAATGCATGTGTTCAAGGCTTATTTTATTATATTTGAATTTTTGAAATACAACAGCTCAATTCTATAATAAATAATACTGTTAGATACACACAGTACAGCAGTCACAACTTTGGATCTCCTTCCCTTTCTCCGTGGTCCAGGCTGTTCACCAAATCCTTGATCCAACCAGTTGGTTTTGGCAGGTTGTGGTGACTGGTATAGGACCATGTTCTGTGATCGAGTGAGTTCGTGTTTCATGTTTCCATGCGAAACCAGAGTAAACGCTGATTTTCTCTCACCTGTCTTCACCGCACCTGTCAGGCTGTATGAAGTTGTTGTAAAGCAACATAGATAGAAAGCAAATTTACACTCTTTTTTTTTTTGGTTATTAGTATTATTTTGAGATTTTTCAGTATAATTACAGCATATATTTGCATAAAAAGAAACCAGCTGAACTCTTATCTCTAGAATTAATTTTTCAAAATGGCTTCCATGTGAGTTGTCCGCAGCACTCTATTGCATTCATCCATAAACTTCAACCTATTGACTTCTCCACTTCCTTTGAGTTTGTCCTTGATGGTCGCAGGGAAAAAAAAGAACTTTTCCGTCAGTTGTCATGTTCTGCCTGGGGCTCTGTTGTTCCTCATGTTTAGAAGTTCGACATGCTCCAGCTGCACACACCCTGCAGCACCTGCAGCCACCTCATACATGCACACATCTCTGCAGGCAAACCATGTTCTCTCTGTTTTACATCTGTGGCTTCTTTATTCCACAATTTTTTTCTGCCATCTCCTCCTTCAGGACAAAATTGAATTAACACAATTGCTCATTTTACCCTAAAAACCGTCTGGATTTAAGTCGTAACAAAACAAGTTATAATTAGGAAAGTGACAAAATATGTAAAAGTCTGTTTTCCTCTGGTTGGATGTTACCGTGTTTCCCTGCATGATTAAAAAAAAAAATTAGCACCTGCCAAAAACCAAATGCTGTTTACACCAGCAGGCTCCTAAACTCCAAATTTTCTTTTTTTTTTTTCTTTCCTTCCTTTAGTAAAAGCTATAGAATTTCACAAGTGTTTCCCACTCCACTCTGGTCGTGTAACAGCTTCACAGTCTGTTCCTGCGGCGTCTCACTCAGCGTGAATCATCTGACAAGATGCGAGATAAAGATCTGAAGTCTTCATTTCAAGTATCTGATGCGGTTTCCCGGTTTCAGACGAGCATAAATCTTTGGGAATTGTTGATTTCAGGTTGATCAGTGACAGACGTCTGATGTCAGAGATTCTCTGTGTTAACTGAAGCTGCAGGTTAACAAGGAACACAACATGTAGGAATTCTATGACGAGGCAGGATGACACATGAATGAGTGCATGACATGATGACGACAGTAATGATAATGACTAATTCATTGGCATTTATATAATTAGGGAAACATTGTGGTGAAACAATATAAACTGCACACTGGCCAGATCAGGCTTTTCTTCTACACTTACTCGTGGTAGTACTACCACAGTACTATAATTGCTGGAATCTTAAAATTTAAACTAACATGATGCTAAAAAATCGCACCACTACACACGATTGGTTATTTTCCTCTAAATGGGATCATGCACAATAAATACTGTACAACAATCCACACACATCGAATTGTTTTGCAGAGCACTGCATTCTACAGACTAAAACCATAATCTGTTCAGGACAACGTCGACATTATTCATCTTAACACCGATTTCTAATGCTAATAATCTTATAAATAATAAAACTCATTCACCTCTGCTCTGTATTGTTAATACAAAGGTTACATAATATTGATTATATGAATGTTACTCAATTTTACGGTGAGAACTGTCATACATAAAGTTAAAATTTAATTTGTTTTTGTTTTAACATAAAAGCAGTAAAGTCAATTGACTTGACCTTTTATTTAGGGTTCCTTTTGCACGACAGTGTAATGCTATATTCAGTGGTGTGGCTGGAAGTGTGAATTTTCAGTATGTGATGTATAATGTTGGTTTTTTTTTATTATTTATTTATTTTACTTTTCCCTTGCCCTTCATTTGGTCACATATTTTGCATTTCTTGAAACATGCTGTTAAAGTCGGAGTACAGCAGCATCCACCAAGCTGCTCTCACCAACCCTAACACCAAATACTGTCTAATAAAATAAACACATTAGTGCAGTTTAAAAAGCTTTAATCTTTAAATCTGCACATGACCATAACATTACCCCCTAGAAAGTCCAGATCTGTCCTGGCTGTGAACCAATACATTCATTTTTCTTTTTTAGCTGTGACTCTAAGAATATGATCTGCATACTGCAGTATTTTTGTATATGTTTCTGTGTGTATTCCCTCAGGTGATGTCGGTCTGATTCCCCCATATGTTCTTTATTCCTCCTGAAGAACTAATGAAGACGGCACGAAGCTGACGGCCAAGTCGGCCGTCGACCAAATTCTCCCAGAGCCAAGACTCTGACAGTGTTCGTATACGATCTCATTACAAATGACTAAAATAATCACAGCGCTGATATAATAATAATGAGACTCTGACTTTGAACTCCTCTCCTTTTGTTTCATTTGCTTTCCCTTGTATTTTGCTCTCTCTGTTTGCCTTTACCTCTTCACGCAGCATAATTTAGTGTGATGTACTGTATACACCTGTTTTAATAAATTAATACTTACTCTTTGTTCTGTTTGTGTAGGTCTGGAAAAAAGTAAGAAGATCAATTTGTCATTCAGTCCTTCACATCTAATTTTTCTCCCAGGTATTTTTTATTCTACTATAAATATTCCTGTTGTCTGTGCTCGTGTTTACCTTGTTTGCTCCAAACATTGGTTGAAGATAAGGATGTTTTTTATACAAGAATTTTTTATGAGCAAAGATTATTATCGTGAGGATGAACGAACATAAAAGTGTCATCTGCGGGACACAACATGACTGTTCAGGTTTTCTTTTAATTGTGGTTTTATTGTGTTGCCTAACTTCTGTAGATAAGGAGTTTATGACTTCACACAACCTTTAAGGTGTATGTGGGAATTTCCTAAAAACCGTTGAGTTTCATATCATTTATGCACGATCATTCTTTTTTATGAGTGACACAAAGTTTATGGAGCTGCAGTAGTGGTGCTGCCTCCTGTCTGTTTTTTCCCTAATCTTTGTTTATTATTTAACTAGAATAACACTTGGTATTTAGACACTAGCTCTAAATACTTTTTATTTATTAATTTATTTAAAAAATGTTTATAACATCATTTGAAGCAGGGTTTTAGGTATATATAAACTTAATTCTGGTTTATGTTTCAAATATGTGCATATCTTGGAAGTTGATGGAGGTGTGCAGTGCCACCACATAACACCACATACATTTTCTAAAGTTAAGTTTGGCCTTTTTATAAAAAAAAGGACTAGTTAAAAGAGAGTGACACTCAATGGTCAGACTGTAGACTGCAGGATGTTTTCTTTACATTCCCCTTTTAAGAAGTTGTTTCCACTGTTAACCTGTGTTGCAACACAATATGATTTATTTGGACAGACAAAGGGTTGGAGGCACGTCAACCTGTTTGTAAAAATGAACTGAACAGTTAACAGTTTTTTGTTTTTTTTTTTTCATTTTTCATCTTTTTTGGTCTGTCGTTTCTCTCTTTGCCTTTTCTGCCTCAACCCTTTTGGTCCTATAACCTGGTCACAGAGTATGATCACCTCTTAATAAACATGTTTTTTAATTATAACTTTTTAAAATTATGTTAGTAAAATAGCAAGACTCTAATGTGTGTTTGGTTTAACTGTTGTTTTAGGTAAGTTGAGTTTTTTTAAGTAAAGACACATTACTGATCCTTCTTGTGTGTTTAGTAAAATATTATCAAACAGTCGAGTCCTGTTTGATCAGTTCTTAGGTTTCTGAATTCTAACAATTCTGTTGAATCTTCTGTAAGCAAATTATGAACAATTTGTCAGGCTATGAGGAGCCTTGTGTAAATCTTTGCGTCGGCAGCAGAATCTGTTGTGTTTTCATTCGAATTGAAACATTTCGCTTTTTATATTATTTCACAAGTTCTATAACTCTTGTCGAGTTGAATTTGTTAGAAGGTGGAAGAGGCACGGAAGCAGAAAACTGCTAATAGGCAGCTAACTCACTCAACTGAAAGAACATTGTTTTTATGTCTACAGGACACACACACACACACACACACACACTTTGTATGATAACAATATAAAGTAACCCCAATCCTTAACCCTACACCTCCATCTCCACCATCCCCACACCGAACAGGAGCCCAACGACAGGCCAACACCCCCACACTGTGACATCATGTCTAATTGGGCCAAACTCCCACCATCACCACCAGCATCATCTGGGCTCTTACCACCATCATCTGTTGGGGTCGAGCCTCAGACACCCACCACAGCAGAGTGGACACACAAAAGAGCCATTATTCTTCCTGAAGCTGAGGAACAATAGGAATACAAATGTTTATCCAAAAATCAAAAATCACTGGAAAAGGACAAATTAAAAGGACACCTACACAGAGGATTTAATTAGTGCCATGGAAATTATTCAGGTTTTATATATTGTGTATTTCACGATTTTCTGCTTTACTAAAGAAACTAATATTAATTACTAAAAATATCAAATCAAAGTGGTGGGAAATAAATGCAAGTACTGTAGGAAACCACAGTAGGAACAGTTAGTGTTCAGTAATAGAATCATTGTACCAGGCCTCAAAATACACACAGGCTGTTATTTTTGATTTTCCTGGGTCTATATTTAGTGAAGCCTCAACAGCAGACGATCCGCCATCATGTCTCAGACTTCTGAAGCAGGTGGAGGGTTAAATGTTAGTGCGTAAGCCCACATTATCATTATCCTGTTGATGGGACTGGACGCTCATCATTGTGTTTTTCAGTCGGGCCGTTGATGAACAGGATCCGCTCCAAACATCTTGTGTGGAAATTTTCGGACTGGTTGCGAGGCAGCCATCTGTGGCACCAGGCCTTCAGCAGCCAAACACCGCCGCAGGGTCCGGAAGAGGGAGGCTGAGCGACAACATCTCTGTTACAGTTTGGAAGACAAATCTTTGACCCATCATCATTTAAGGGACATTTTGTCTTTTTAAAGATGTAATGGTAAAAAAATACCCTGCCTTTATTCATTTTATCAACTCCTTTTATTAACCTGTCCTAACTTTTTTTAAGGTTAAGCTGAAGTTGAAGTTTCTACAAACGCAGGTGAGGAATTAAGGTGGTATTTTTAAGGTGCTATTGATAAGGTGATAGAAGGTGGGATTATTGAATATTCAGTGTATTTTGCGTATGGTTTAAATGCTACCCATAAACATATAGTACCATGGTATTTACATATCTGTTTTCATTGGAAATGTGCAAGCTACAGTCAGTAGGATGACATTATCACTACAAATTAAAAATATCAACTGATATCAATAGTCATATCAACACAACATCAGTTTCATGATAATAATGCAATAAGTTTTTATATGGACTTTTTTTTGCCTAAAAACAGATCTACAGGTAATGCTAATTTGAACAGCCCGACCTAAACATCCTGTTTTAACAGGAAGTGGCAGTTCACATGTACTACATTTTGAACCCTGTGACAGTACACACAGACACATTCTTGAGCTGGTTTGAAAAAAAAAAACACACCTTTTTCTCAACCTAAGTGTGAATCTCCTCCATCCTTTTTCAGTCTTCACCTTTGTGAGTCACAGCGTGTCGTGCTGGTTGTGCCATTGTTTAGGATGCCGTTGGGGGAGGGAAGGTGATGTCACGTCTGCGCCCAAGGCTCTGCAAATGTTGACACCTCCAGCTCTCAGTCAGGTGAGAAGACACAAACAAACAATTCAGAGCTCATTATTGTTTTGTACCTAAGGACAAAAAGCAATAAAAATTCTTTAAGAACATCTGACAGTCATCCAAAGACTGCACAGATTAGAAATGATCACAGCATCGAAGAACAGACACTGGTTGCTACTAGAAATTGCATAATTAAACAATTGTGTTAGTTCTTAATTAATTAAAGTCTTACTAAGTATATTTCTACTGCTATAGAACACTACAGAATTTTAATTATATCTATTTTTTTTATTATAATATCTCATCATCTACCAGCATTCCCAAGGCAAAGTATTGGTAAATCTCGATATAACTATTGGACATCCCCCTAGATTTAAGGCCAATAATGGAAAGATGAATCAATGCAGAGATTCAACAACATAACTGAGAATTTGTAATATTCATGTTAGGGTTAAATTATTCACTGATTAAATCTTCAATGGCCTTAAATTCAAATAGATATTGATCCATAACCCCTCTGTCTTTCCTCAGAGATTAATTATTAGTTCTCTTGTAGATCGCAGTTGTCGCAGACATAAGACATAAGGGACAAGAATCATCAGATCTCCCCTCGTAAGAGATGCTTACCTTGTTCACACATCTGAAGGATCTGGGGTTTGGTGAGTGTGTGTGTGTGTGTGCGTGTGTCAGAGGTGGGATAATTGACTTGGACACGTGCCAGAAAGCTGGAATATTTACCGCACCAGCAAGAAAATTTGTCACCTCTTGATGTTGTCACGTCACACACCTGTACCCTTTACTGTAGAGGCTGCATCTTAAACACACACAAACACATAACTTTTCACTCATCTACCTAATTCTGTTTAACATTTACTTCATATTCTAATGAACATACAGTTTGTGGAGATTATGAAAAGGTAAACAGAACCAGCTCTGCAGCCAGAAACAGGTCTGACTGTCTGTGGCTCACAATGACTCAAATAAATATTTAAAAAAACAGGACATACTTTTCTGCTTATAGTAATTATATATCATTGGGTCATAGGATGGGCTGGAAGAACCCAGGAGAGGATTAAAGAAGAGATCTTGATCTTTTGTCCTGTAAACACCATCAGCATGACCTGTGGTGCAGTTGGTAATTTCACATGTATATTTTGGGTTTTTTTTCCATATTAAATCAGAGGGTTCACATAAAGGCTTCACATTAATTTACTGAGAAAACTCTGGGGCTGACCGTGTGCAACCTCAGCATCATTCTAATCTAGTGGTCCTGGGTGGTCCCGCCCCCTATTTTGTGTTTCACTGTCGTTCATCACGGTCCTACCTCTAAAAAGGTCCCTTTTTTAAGTTCTAATAACTAATAACTCTATTAGGAAAGTGACTGAAGTGAAAAAAAAAAACTTTAAATCTAAATCTAACAGAAATACTACATATAAATATCATTTATAACACAAATGTAAAGTTAAAGAGAATTCAGCAGCAGATAAATGAGGAAACCCCCCTCAAAAGGTTTTCAAAATTATAGTGAATAACGACTAAAAAAAAAAGCGTCAGCCTTTAATTTATAACCAAGGCTTCAATTTGAGTCAAATTTCAGACGATTCTTCATGTGACTTTTATCTGCTTCTCTGCGTGAAGGTGAATATTTTCCTGTAGTTTTTTTTAGTGTTTGTGTGAAGCTGCAGGCTGTTTGTTCGTCTGTATTTTTATTTTTATTTCTCTCTCTCACACACACTCTCTCTCTCTCTCTCTCCGCCCACCAGCTCCACTGCCGCCTCAGGATCTGCTTCTCTCACTAAATTGGCTCCTCAGACACCCTTCCCCTTCTTCCCCATCTCTCATTTAAAAAGTGCGAAATTATAATTATCTGAATTATGCTTTTAATGATGCGTTAATTAGAGTCATGGAGTGAGATTAGCCTATGAATTATTACTTGTGAAATCCTTCCAGATCTGTGCGAGCTTGTTGTGCAGGCGGCCGCGAGAAACGAGAGAGAGAGAAAGAGAGAAAAATGTTGCTGCTCGGTGTCGAACGCACCGATAAATAACAGAACAGATTGTGGTGCATATGCTTATGATTACAACTTTTAAACGGACGCTTTCTAAACTCACACCGACTGTCTTGTGCTGGCAGGAGGTTTTTGTACCAACAGCCCAGTCAGCTCTGTTTCCTTCGGAGGCTCTCCGTGCAATTCTCACCAAATGTGAACTATTATTAAATTGTGTGAGGAGAAAACTGATGCTTCATCTCTCAGCTGTGACTGCCTGCAGGCCCCAGTCTGGAGATAGCGGAGCACTGAGGAGAGTTGAACTACCTCTCCACATTCTCACAGGTCCAGGGTGTGTTGTTGAAGAGTCTTTGTTGGCAGAAATTAAACATGCTGCCCATGAGTGAGTGTAGGAACAAGGGAAAAAGTGTGTGTGAAGAGAGAGACAGCAGGGAGCTGTAGCCATGTTGCTGTGAGTGTTTTTTACTTCTGTTTGACTTTTTAAAGATTACAGGGTGTTACTTGAAAAGTAAGAACTTTCATTCGTTGCAGCTTTAGGAAGTAGTTGGTGCAGTTTTTATGCCTGATGCCCTTCTGACGCAACCTGCCCTCTTGGATTTGGGAGTTGGAAGTTTACTATATTGTCGAACCCTTTAAAAAAAGAAAGAATGACGCTGGAGTCGGGCAGGAACAAAAAACACAAAACAAGTCAGTGATACCAATTTGCTGTTTGCTGTAATAGTAAAAGTTATCATATCGTTCCAATGTTCTACAGTACAGCTAGTTTTATGAGTCGCTGTTAGCAAGCAAGTTTGGTGACAACAACTATGACACCAAATAGTGACAGATTCATCAGCTTATGAAATTATGTGGAAAAAAATATTAAATGTCAGGAGAATTTTGTGATTGGAGGGACAGCTATAGACATAGCATCATCCTTGATTGTCTTGATAGGATTATTAAGGTAGTCATTTTGTTCAAATTTGATACAAAGTGTTGACCAGGTTTACCTTGTGTTGCTGCCTTTATAGTAGAAGAATATTAGAATCTGTGATTATTGCATTCATTTAAACAGGGACTGAATGATGCCAATTAAACAAATTCCCATTGGTTAAGAAAAAGAATAATGATTTGCTGACCCCATCTCTAAACAATATCCATTAGCAGTAGTTTGTTCCTGCTGTGACATGCACAGAGTGTCAGAGCATTCATCCTTGCCTACTTTTATGTAAATGTGAGGAGCCGATTGGAACTAGCAGGGTAATAAAGGAGTTGCTCTTTTACATAATTCTGATGAGGCGGTAAACTGCTTTGTCTGTTTTTTTACTCTGTCAGGACAAATGTTTGTCTTTTCTCCACCTTCTGACCCCATCTTGTAGACTAACTATTATAGACTTGTTAGTTCTTAGTAACTGGGGGTCACTTTGGTCATCTCACAGTTTGTCATAAAGAAGGAAGTAGGACGAGTTAGATCACTGATTAATGAAAACCAATTAAAATATAAATCTATGGTATCTATGGTAATGGCTTATCAGCCATTTTGCTCAGTATGGTAATGTGGAGTCTGGTTTATTCATGAGAAATGTAAGTGCAATTTAGAAATAATATTAACAATAATATAGTCAGTGCTACATTAGTACTAATATTATTACACTTAAAAATAGTATGATTTACATGTAGTTATTCCACAGAGCACGCCATATTTACTGTACAAAAGTAAACAGAAGTACTCTGGGCTTTTATGAGTGAAAACTAACTTCAAATTTTAAGTTTGTGTCCTTACCAAAAAACTAGTCCTGCTTTTTTATTTTAAATATTTTCTAAACTTGCACTGTGTTCTTTTAGTTTAATTTATTATCTAACAGCAAACAATTACTTTAGAAATATAAATGTATTATTATTGTGCAGCCCTACCTTATGCACTGTATTTTGTAAAAGTATATCTAGTAGAACTGTGCGTTCTTGCAGTAAAACACACAGACGTCAGCTGAGGGGCTGAGACTCAGTCGTCTGTCTTTCCTCTTACTTCCCGTGCTGCCGTTGTTGCCGTAGACAAACAGACCATGTTGCAGCATTTGGGTAATCCCCGCTTGTAACAACACCAGCTGGAGCGTTTTGAATCCGAGATGGCCATCTTTGCTCAGCCACTGTGACGGCCGGCCTCACTGTTCAGGAATTGGCAGCGAGTGGTGGAGCTCTCTGTGTAAACCCTGCAAGGGAAATCATGGTGCTAATTTGCAGGATGTGGCGTCCTCAGCCATGTTTTAGGCATGCATGGCTGCAGCC